GCACCCCGTACAGTGGGAGTGTCACGGCGGACAACGAGCTCATACCGAAAGGGTTAATTATCTTTATTTAGATTTATTCTATTACCTCTTATTATTATTACACTCAATTTTATACATTTGTATCGTATGCAAATATGTAAAACATAACGTATTGTTTAATTCTGATTCTGTTAAATCAATATGATATTCTCTAGTTTAGAAAGAAACTACAGGATCATTTTGTATGGGTTTTGGTACACATATTTACTAATAATATATAAATAATTTTATTTATATATTATTAGTAAATATGTGTACCAAAACCCATACAAAATGATCCTGTAGTTTCTTTCTAAACTAGAGAATATCATATTGATTTAACAGAATCAGAATTAAACAATACGTTATGTTTTACATATTTGCATACGATACAAATGTATAAAATTGAGTGTAATAATAATAAGAGGTAATAGAATAAATCTAAATAAAGATAATTAACCCTTTCGGTATGAGCTCGTTGTCCGCCGTGACACTCCCACTGTACGGGGTGCTGCGCCGAAAATGCGAACATAACACAGATTGAACGAAGATTTTCTTAAGCGTTAAGTAATGATTGTGCTTAATCCGTTTCTAAATCTTTCTTTAAATGTTTCCTGTAAACATTCTGTAAAGGGTCTACAGAAATATGGCTTACGTGGATGCCAGATATATTCGGCACTCGTCCATATTGGTCATCAGAAGGATGCCGCATATATCCGGCGCTCGGCCACACAGGTGACCAGATGGATGTCGGATATATCCGGCGCTCGGTCACACAGGTGACCAGATGGATGCTGGATATATTATCCGGCGCTCGTACCGAAAGGATTAATAAAGTATATTTTGTTATTAGTATTTACAGAAGCAGATTTCACACGTCTATGGAAAGGACTATTCTATTGTATGTGGATGTCGGATAAACCTTTAGTTCAAGAGGAGTTAGCAGAATCTCTTAGTAAAATTGTACATTGCTTTGATGATAAAGATTTAGTATTGCTTTATACCAAGTGTGCTTTTAGAACATTAGGCACAGAATGGTTGGGTATAGATCAGTACAGATTAGACAAATTTTGTATGGTAAGCTGAATATTTTTGTTGTTTAAATTATCTCTCTCTCTCTCTCTATATATATATATGCTTACACGTGCGTACACATTCGTTTACAGCTAGTAAGAAGAATGATTCGTCAAACATTTATAAAATGTAAAGAAAGATCATGGGACGTAGAATGGGTTAAAGGTTTCACTGAAATACTCGATAAACTGTTTGTAGAACCAAAAATATGTCTTGGTTTCAAAATGCATATAACAGATATATTCTTAGAAGAACTGTCAAAGGTATTACTATTTTAAGAATTAGTATTTAAAAAGGAAACAGTATTACATGATAAATCATTTACTATTTATAGGTCAGTGATGGATGTATACCTGAAGATGTAGTTACAGAACTTGTTCAACCATTTGTTTCGTATTTTATAATTATGGATGATGAACGACAAATTAGGCATGTTATGAGACATATTTTTAGGTATTTAATCTTTCAATCGGATGTTGGAATGGATTACATGGAAAAATTTCAAGCCTGGAGAGCTGTGAGTACTGCAAATTTTCAATCAGTGTTCAAATATAAAAATAAAATGTGTTATTAATTATATGACTAAAACATAATGGGAAAGTTATACAAAATTGGTACAAAGATAAAGAGAGATAATAATCAAATTTTCAAGTTTTCTTCACAGTTTTTTTCTAAAACTGTTGCAAGTACAAACTGGAAATTTTGAAGTGTTAAATAATGCAAAGGGTGGAACCCTTTTTGTTTTTAAGAGACTTATCCCACAATATTTTACTATTGTGCTATTTAAGCTAATTTCACTGATCATTATAGAATGGTATTTCAATAATGGAAAAGAAATTTTTATCGAAATAATAAAACGTATCTTAAGAGAAAATATTTAAGTAATAGAGATGTAAATCACAGAGATTTTAACAATAAGAATTCTACTATGCTGTTATAGTATAACATACATTGCATACGTGTAGGCTGGCTTCCCTAATGGTTCCATTGATGCGGTAGAAAAAATTGAAGTATCAGACGAAGAAGCAGAATACAGTAATACAGCTAAAACGAAGGATGTTTCGCGAAGTAATACAGAAAAAGTATTAGATCCAAGAGCAGGAAGAGTAGATGTCGAATTGCCACAAATACCTTTTAATCCTAAAAAGATTGTGACGCTATTAACACAATATAAGTTTCATCCCTCGTCAACAACAAAATCACGCAGACAACTGCAGCATCTTATCAAGGAGTAAGTAACAGTTGACTAAAAATAGAAAAGCTTATAGGTATGTGAAAAGAATGACACCTTCCAATGAATTAAATTTTTAGATTCGTACAATTGTCAGGAGGCAAAATGCCCCTTGGTGTTCAGGAGATAAGAGTTCCAAATGTACGAAAGAAGGATACAGACACGAAATTAGCTGCAAAACGTCTCTTGCAGTTCGAGAAGGAGTTGTATTCTGATACAACCTCCAAAAAACGTAAAAGGAAACGAGATACGGAGTTGCCAGAGGATAAAAAGAATACATTTAGCGAAGAAGAGTCAAAAGATAATAGCAATGAAAATGATGTAACAAGAAGGATGGACACTGCTGGAAAGAAAAGAAAGAAAATGAAATTTGAAACAACGACAATTTCTAGCAAATCACAAATTAATTCACAAATATTGGATACATGTACCCCTGTGTCGCAGAAGAAAAAATGTGAAACAAAAGAAAAAATTCTTAATAGTTGTAAAGTAGATATAGAAGAAAATAATAGTAAAGCAAGAAAAGATCCATTTCAGGTAGTTAAGAATATTAATGGATATAAGAAAAAGAAACTGAAGAAAAGTGAACCCGCAGCTGCCAATATTCCACTAGTTGAAAAGAAAACGAAAGTCAAGGTTTGTAATCAATGGGATGTTTCTGATAATACAACGGCTTTAACCGATAACGATAGAAAATCATGTTCAAAAGTTGCAAAAAAATCAATCGAGAAGGATCATCTTCAGAAGAAGAATGCACCTAAACAGCTACCAACATGGATGTTACCGGTATTAAAGAAAATAGAAAATGAAAAGAATGTATGTTTGTAATGGATACCTTTTTTCATTCGTAACAGTAAAAATATAATACAAACATGAAATATTTAATTACTGCTCTCTTGTTAATATATGTATTTATTACAGAATATAGGACATAAAATACCAGAGCAAAATAAAGTGGACAATGTTTCGAGTTCGAAAAAACGTGTAAAAATTGCTCTTCAACGTAATACTGCTCAACACACGTCTGAATATATTCTGCAAGTTCAAAGAAGTCCATCAATTCCGTACGATGCGAACAAAAAACCATTAGTAGGAGTACTGAAAGCAAGTCCCATGGGGAGTCCGATAAATCCGTTTTACAGAAAAAGGGGTTGAACGAGATCATTTTTAACTTAACAACAAAAGATGTAATTATTTGTTAATAAAATAATAAATAATCTTTTGTTAATTCCTTCGTGAAGTTTTCTTACGCCTAGATTTATTTGCAATTTCAATTTACATACTTCTCTAACGCAGTTTGTTCAAATTATATATATATTTATTTGTAAATATATTATATTGTAATATATTGACAATTCTAAACATTGAAATTGTCTGGGATTAATGATGCTACCACATTATCTTCGTCACAGAGAACAATTGGATTGATAAAATAGATTTTCTAGATATTCTGATTTTTGTAAAATAATCTACAAATATATAAATTTGTATAAACATCCACAGTCTAGCATTGAGAATTAATACAACATAAAATAATATTTTATAAATCCAATCGTATAACATTTATATTTACATTTGTAAATCTACAATTACGTGGAGTAAATAAAACCATTATATTACTTGAGAAATAGAAACATTTTTTAGGTAGACA